ATACATGTGTTTGGTGCTCCTTATGGTTCCATAACATTTATAAATGAAAACCTGACAGCAGTTCTAACCCTTCCCTATTCTACCTCAAACTAGAAAAAAATACTTGGCTGCAGTTCCACTTTCAATCTTTCTAAATGGTACTTTTCATGGTAGAATGAAGATCCAGCATCTCCTGGAACAATGGGTTAACCTATCTGCTTCTATAGAAAATGTTTGATGAACACCTTGTATAGCCGATTAGAACATTCCCAGCGCTTGTGCGGAAACATTATATGCATCTATTGCGTTGGCTTAATGAACAAGAGCTCATCTGGCGTTTCAATTTACGTGATTACTCTGACACTGTAGGTAATAATTTACTGTTTAGAATAATTACCAGCATGATATTTGTTTAATGAAATTTATAAACAAAAACACTTAGAACATTGCAATTATTGGTAAAAACTGCTAAAAAAACTTTTAAAAAAACTTGATTTTTCATTATTTGAAAAAAAAAAAAACCCTGCCCCCCGGATTGAAGCTCTCCACCAAAATACCTAATATTAATTATCAAACCTCTCCAGAGCCCTAAATTAACATCACAACCACTGTTTGGATTCAATGCTAATTTTATTGAAGTTGTTTTGCAAAGCGAAATATATTAAAATTAATAGGGCAAATGACAGTGGGTTGTTAAAATTAATTACGTTGCCATTTTCTTTTCTTTTGGTTGACGAGGCTTGGTCGTAGTAGCGCATTTCCTGTGCACCTGCTCCTGCTGTGGCCTAAGTGATATAGAGTCTGCAAATCCAGAAAATTGTAGTATCAAATCTCCACACCAACTGTGCAGCAGCACTATCATCAAATCCCTGCTGAGAGGTGGTTCCCTTCAAATCCCCAAGGATTTTTTTTTTCCGTTCCCCCTGTTTCCAGATTGAACTCTGATCCCAGCCTTTCTCTTACATAATGCAGTAAGGCACTGTTGTAATGGTTCATCACTGAGAGGTTGCAGACTATACATACCCATAGGCTCATTAGCAGGTCAATAATTCACTTGCCCACAGGCTGGCTGGGTATCAGGTTTAAGCTCCTGCAAATCTGAATTTTTATATTGCCATAAAATATACTAAACTGTATAAGTATTGTATCTTTTGTGACATTTCTGAACGAATATGGTCCTGAATGTCAAAAACCACAGTAGCTTTACGCTTTTTATTTCAGGTTTGAAAACTTTCATTTTTGGAGGTTTATAGACTTTTTTAAATAAATGTGGAAGGTTATTCTTATGTGCATAGCAAAAAATGCTGGTGTTTGCATGCAGTATCGGTAAAATAATTTTACTTGCATGCCAACATTCCAAATCAAAGGGTGACCATTGATGGACAGATGTCTCCCTCTTGGGGAGACATCTGTTCATTTTGCCGAGTATCACTGAAGGACTGAGACTGGCCTAATACTCGGCCAATATGTGACAGTAGTGAATGTTCTCTATGGCCTGTCAAAGGACAGGGATTTTGTGCTCCTCATTTGGAATTCTGTCCAGATTACTCAATGCACAGTGGTCACTGGGCAAAGTCCAGTAACCCATAGTAACCAGTCAATATTCACTTTATAGAAGTCTGACAATACATCATGAATTCTGATTGGTTGGAATAAATGCTGACGTTTGCTTTATTTGCTAAGCCCATATATCTTAAGCAACGTATCCAGATCACTTTTAAAGTAGTTTGTCAATTGTAGTAAGTATCTAAATTAACAACGTGGCTGAAGTGCATGCTCCATAACATGCATGCACCCAGGCAGCCCTCAGTCCTGGATGTACTGGCTTGGTATTGCAAAAGCTCAACCTCTTTGACTTGGCTTTAAAGAATAACAACATTTTTCAAATTCTCCCCTTCTCAAGTTCCATAAAAATTAATTTTGGACTACTTACCCCTCCATGCCCTGCCACTGCCCTCCATTTCCTCCTCCACTTCTTATTGCAGCCCACTTATGGTTTGAATGACAGCCTGAGTCATTTAATTAATTTTATGACCCCAGGTTGCCAGGTACAATCTCCTCAGGTGAACTGGCCTGCACTCACATGACTGCAGCACCACATGGCTTTCATGGTGTTACAAGACATATAGGAGATTCCGTGCTGCAGAAAGGACTGTCCACCATGATAGGAGGTATAGACCAGTGCAGGGATGTGCGGTCAGGTGAGGCAGAGCCTCACCTAGAATTATGGAGGAAAAAGCTGTCAGCTTTTAAGTCTGAAGCTAACAGCTTTTTCTCCATTCAGATCGGCATCTATCAGGTTACACAGCAGGGAAATCCTCCCCGCTGTGTAACCTGTCATGGATGGAGCACTGCCTGTTAATTACAGGCAGCGCTACATCCAGCTTTTGACGGGTAGTTAGGTTACACAGCAGAAGGCTTCCCCACTGCTTGTGTAACCTAACAATTGAAGCCAGAGCTGTCACAGCCTCTACTCTTTGTTAGAAGCGTGAGCTCTGTGGATGGCTTGGACCAATGGCAGTGACGAGCAAGTGAGGGACAGGGAGGCTCCTCCCTGTCCCTCACTGTCTCCTCCCTTCCTCCTTTACACTAGCTTGGGGGCGGGGTTTCAACCAGCAGGGGCGGGGCTTCAGCTTGCGAGTGCGGGGCGTGCTGGGGGCGAGGCTGGGGAATGCCTCACCCGGAACAAGAGGTACCCCACGTCACTGGACCTGTGACATCAATAGACCTGCCAGAACACAGGTGGAATTAAGGTATCTATTTAGGACTAGGGATGCACACATGCCGATACTAAGCTTCGATACCAGCACTTTACATTTTTAAACAGAAGCAGCTGCTGGGGACCTCAGCAGCCTTTCTGTTAACTATATGGTGCCTGTTAATAGCGACGGCTGCACATCTCCTCCTCTTCCTTTCTGTGGAAACATGCCGCCTGCACATGCCTTCGAGACACTCCGGTCCCCTGGTGAGACCTCGCGCAGCCCTCCTGAGACCCTCTATAGCCCTCCTGACACATCAGGAGTGCTTGGAGCAGCACAGAGTATGTAGGTTCATATAATTCTGCATTGCTGCATAATGTATTGCTGGGATTTGTAGTCCTCTATAGCTGGTTGCTATCAGCATTGCTGTAAAATGTATTGTTGGGATTTGTAGTCAACTATAAAAAATGGATGCCAAGGACTTCTGAAATTTCTGCATACTTATATACAGATGTTCCTCACTTACCGACTTACTTGTTTTGCGACCACTCGCACTTACGACAGACCGCCGATCGACCTCCGACCTTGCGCGTCAGCGTCAGTGCGCTGTGTCGCCGGCGGAAGTGGTGTCCTCCGATCTTCACTGCGGGTTCTGGTAAGTATTTTAATTGCCCGATGTACAGTACACTGTTCGGTACTGTACATCGGCAACGCTATACCGTACTGTACTAATGCAGTACAGTACTGTATAGAGTTCCTCACTTAACGACCAATCCGTTTAACGACCTGGTCGTAGGAACGGAACTCGGTCGTTAAGTGAGGAATACCTGTAATGTCAGTGACTGAAACTATTCAAACCAAAGGGTCATACTAACTACAGGACTAAATGCCTTTTTCAGGAATGCCGTCAGCAATGGCAGCTCTGATGACATCATTAGATGCTAGGGAGTTGGTGGGGGGCAGCCAGCCCTGGTTGCCCCTCCCTTGCCCCTCTCTGTTAAAGCCAGAAGGCCTATCCAGACCACTGCATAGAAAACTGCAGACTTATCCCACACTGAAGATTTCTTAATTCTGTAAGAACCCTTGCACACAGGCAAATAGGGGTATACACTGCCAGGATCCGTGTATATCAGAGGGCCCCTAGCTGGGGACTCCAAATGTGAAAAAGAGGGAGGCTCATGATGTGAGTGGGGGCTCCTTATGTAAATATGGGGCTCCTAAGGGGAAGAGGGGATTGATGTGAAGG